ATTCCAGAGCTAGACTTTTCAGATCCCTTAGAGCACATAAATTATAACATTAACCATGGGTTGATCATTGAACACTTTTTACATTTTTTCCCCATGAGTTGCCTATTACTGACTTCTGGAACCATTGTTCCAAAGAACGTGTTTTAAGAAATGCTGAGTAACTTGTAGATTAAACTGCAACTGTTTTACATGTAGTTTCTATTTCAGCCTTGGGTTATCAGACTCAGACCTTGTATAAGCACATTTGAATTCAACTTAATATTTTTGTTTCAGAACGATAGATTACTAAGTTATTGAAATAAACTTAGCTGATAATGTTTTAAGACTATTTCATAAAAGTAGGTGGTAATCACAACTGACACAAGCATGTATATACAGTATATGCATGTATACATATGTGTATGTGTGTGCTTATATATGTATGCATGTGTGTTTGTATTCTTTATATTCCATTTAATTCCACAAAAAATGATAGTTATTACTTTATGCCTACTTTATAGGGAACATATTAAATGGTAGGACAAGAAAAAGTTGCTTCCTAACATTTTTCAAAGTCTTTGCTAACAGAGCAAAGAGAAAGTACTATTTGCCATCAAAAGAGATGGTTTGTACTTGCCTTAATTTTACGGTCTGTTACTTTGTTAGTAAAATACACAACTGTAATAAGGGGAATTTTAAAAGACTGCCATTGTTGTTATTGTTGTTGTTGTTGTTTTGACTATCCTTAATCACACCTCCAGAAGATGGGTTTTAAATGGCAGTGTTATTGCTTAGTTGCTAAGTCATGTCCAACTCTTTGCGACCCCATGGACTCCAGCCCACCAGGTTCCTCTGTCCATGGGATTTCCCAGGCAAGAATACTGGAGTGGGTTGTCACTTCCTTCTCTAGAGGGTTTTCTTGACCCAGGGATCAAATCCCTGTTTCCTGCAATAGCAGGCAGATTCGTTACCACCGAGACACTAGGGAAGCCAAAATAGTATACACCACCGAAGACAAGTTTAATTAGGAATACAAAAAATCTTTCTCTTTGCCAGAGAAAATGGTGACCTCACTTGCAAGTAAGCCAAAAATCAATAATGTATTTCTATACTTTCTGCACACAGGAAAGTCAAGCCATCATCAGTTTCCTGAGAAAGGCTATTATTATGAAACTTTGCCTCTCTCTGAAAAAAAACAAAAAACAAAAAACACCAACACTGCCTCATCTCAGCAAAATTCAGGGCTGTGTTCCTTCACAGACAGACATGCCATGCTGCTTTTTTGGCACCTATGCTTGCACTCATGGAGTCACCTCTGCCAAGAACGTTGTCTCCTGTCTTAGTTCATTCAGGTTGTTGCAACCAAACATCACAGACTGGGTAGTTTTTGAACAGAAATTTATTGTTCATGGCTCTGGAGCCTGGAAGTCTGAGATGAGGACACCAGCAAGGTGGGGAGATGTTCCTCTTCTGGGGCAGACTTCTCATCACGTCCTCACGTGGTGGATCTCTGTGGGGTCTCTTTTATAAATGCACTAATTCCATTCATGAGAGTTTCACCCTCACGATCGAATCACCTCCCACCCACTCCCTCCAACCTCATAATACTGTCAACTTGGAGATTAGGGCTCGCCATACAAATTTTGGAGGGGAGACATTCCGATCAGAGCACCATCACACCGTCCTTCTCTGGCATCTCTCTGTACTCACTCTTTTGCAGTTCATCCTGAGAACATTTTCTGAAGCAAATGAAAGTTCCCCCAAAGTGAGTTATGAACTGATTTGGAGATCGTTGCTCCCTCTGCTCTCTGCTCTAAGGTGACCACCTGCCTGTCCAACCATTTGGTCAGACAGGCTTAGTTCTCCAATAATTAGGGCTTCCTTATCACTGGGCTTCCCTTGTGGTTCAGCTGGTAAAGAGTCTGCCTGTGATGCTGGAGACCTGGGTTCGATCCCTGGGTTGGGAAGATCCCCTGGAGAAGGGAAAGGCTACCCCCTCCAGTATTCTGGCCTGGAGAATTCCATGGACTCTATAGTCCATGGGGTCGCAAAGAGTCGGACACGACTGAGTTACTTTCACTTTCACTTCACATTCTCTCCATGTGGCTGCATATCTGGCTATAAGATTCTATAAGTCTGCAGTGGGGCCCAGGGAACAAAAATGTCACCTGTGGCCCGCGAGGCCTTGTAAACCTGCTTCCTGCTTAACTTGACCGCAGCCATAGCATCCTCTTAGACATGCCGCTACTGACAGTTCCTCGAGCTCTCTGCCTAGAAGCCTTCACTCACATCCTTCTGCCTGGCGTGTTTGCCCCTGAGATGTTCATATGACTCATTCTACCCCATGTTTCATCTTAAATATCACTTCTTTCCTCGGCCATCCAAATTAATAGCATTGCCACCCTCAAGTCCCTCGCTGTTTCTTCGCCTATACTGCCTTGTATTTCTTTTTATCACTTATCCACGTTATAGGGATCTGCCAGGAATCATGGCCACCATGTGTTCAGTTGGGTCCGACTCTTTGTGACCCTACGATCTGTAGCCTGCTGGGCTCCTGTCCATAGGATTTCCCAGGCAAGAATACGGGAGTGGGTTGTCATTTCCTTCTCCAGGGGATCTTCCTGATCCAGGGATCCAACCCATGTCTCTTGAACCGGCTGCATTGGCAGCTGGGTTCTTTACCACTAGCTGCACCTGGGAAGTGCAGGAATCGGGTACATAGTAATAACAGTAACTGCAGAGGGGAGTCAAAAGCAAGGCACTGCCTCTTCATCACCATCTGAGCAAGCTGCCTATGAGTTCATCTCTTCCTCTTCAAACTATTCCTCTAGCCGATTAAATCATTCCTCTTGCTTTCTGTTCCTCCAGCAGATTTGTTCATTTCTGGGAAAACTGGTACATTATTCTAGCTGCAAACTCAGTTGTATTTATTGAGTGCTAGCCGGGTGCTGGGCCCCACAGTAGGCACCAAAAAGGGCCCCGGTTGCCACTGACTCATGTGGGGACCTACACGGCATCCAGGCAGCCATGTCCTCCCACTGTCTAAAATTCTTAAGTGTGTAATCTATCCCTTTCTTGACAACAGAATACAGAACTCCAGCACAAGGACACTGAGGACAAAGAGCATATAATCCTTCTCTTATCCATTGTAAATTGTCTCCACATTCAAATATTATTTTTACTATAGAAAAATAGATAATTGTACTGGTCTTGAGGAATTCTCATAGACTCCCCATGTATATGCTCGAAGAGTTTTCAAAAATGTTATCTGAATCTGAAAATTCCCAAAGCAAATGACCACAGTACCTTGGTCCTATATCCGCAGTTTTGTGGATGGAAAGGTGGGGAGATGGGAACAGCTTCTGTATTGATCTGACTCAGTTTCCCCAGTATGACTGAGAAGAGACTGACGAGGGACAGCTTTGAGCAAACACAACTTTATTCATTTTGGGTTGAGGGTATAGATACCCATACAGAACCAGCCCCCTTTGCTTATTCCCTCCCATCCCATTCCAGAAAAATGGCTGTAATGTTCTTTCATGGCAGACATACTCTTTTATATTATCAAACACATCATTAACACTTCTGAAAAAAAAATGGTGTCTACTACCTAGAAGTCTCAAGATTTTGCTCATGTCTTTCATATAAATCACAAAGCATTCGCCATTTGTCCAACATATCCACTTGCATGAAAATGTCACAGATGTGTTTTTAAGAATTGTTTACAAGGGAACTACTTCAATGAGTCTCATTTCTGTTCTTACCTACTGGTGCTATCTTGTTCGGTTTTTAAGAGAAAAAAAAAGATATTAACACATTATAGGGTAGGCACCTTAGGTCAGGGTGGCTTGTCTTTTGCAAAAATAATTTATTAACTGCTACGTTAAGTGTCTAACCCTACCTATCACAATCGTAGAGGAGGTATCCATTACTGATTAAAACAAATTTTTTTTTTTTGCATTTTTTCCCTTGTCTGTTTCTGGAGGAAGAAATGTGAACAAAGGCACATATCCCAGGAAGACAAGTCGGAGAAGCTAGGTCTTGGGACGAGGACCCAGCTGACACAGGGAGGAAGCTGAATGGCCAGTCTCAAGCCGCCCTCCCCTTAACCAGTACTCACTCTCTCCAGACACAGGCTCTTTCACGGACTCTGTCCTCTTGTTCTTTGCAACTATTCTTCAGCCCACAAAGTTGAGAACCTTTCGAGAAAGTTGAGGGAAAAGAAAGTCCTGCGACAACACAGTACATAATTTCAAAAAAAAAAAAAAACCACACAACATCAAAATCCTGTGATTTGAAACTTATACATAAACATTTACAGGATTCATGGGCTGCAGGGAGAAGGGGTGGGGGCTTCAAACCTTGAGTTTGTAACGAGAGCACGCAAAAAGATAACACGTTAGTAGAGGGAACACTTCAGACCTCCCAACAAAGGCAGAGACTGCCACAGAAGTTGTTTAACAATATACAAAAGGACGAGGAGAGAGGATGGCAGATTTCAGAGGATAAAGAACAAGGTAGGTGGAAGCAAGCTCCGCAACAGTGGGTCTGCCACTCACACTGCCAGGAGGGGCTGAGCACTTAAGAGCCGGAGCTTCACCACGCTGGGATGTGTCTTTCTGGCACAGTCGAACCAGGAGCAGGCAACTCAGTTCTAATTTTGTCAAAAGGCAGCCAAAAGACCTTGGTTGCCCTGCCTACGCAGCAGCTCAACTAAGCCACCCAAACACTCCTTTTCTCTGGAAGGTTGCGGTTCTCTTCCCATTCTTCCAACACCTCCTGCCTGGGTAAACATCTCCTTGAGCCACCTTGACACGGGCACTGTTCTGACATCATGGCCTGTTCATCAACCGTGGGAGTCAATTCCTGTTACAGAGGCACGTTGTGTGGGCTGGATAAACCCTACCAATGTGCCTCAGCACCAGGGAGGATGAAGACAGACACTCAGGCCTGAGCCGCTGCGTGGACAGCCAGTGGCAGACACTGATGATAAGGGAGGCGAGAGGAGATATTTTTTTTTTAAGTTTTTTTTATTACACAGTAAAGAATACAACAATACCTGAATCATACTTTAAAGATTCACAGGTTGACAGACCATACATTACAGTCCAACTAAGGAAAAAAAAAGGATAAACAAGAAACCACAGTTCAGACATAGTAGACTTCAAAGCTCAAGAGTATGCTGACAAAAGCATGATGCCTAGACCCCGCCCCCCAGTGTTAGTCTACCATTAACTTGTGGTACATGTCTGAATTAAGTATTGCACAACAACTTTAATTTTTCACAATAATGTCGCAGAACCCAAAATAATATTTAAAAAAAAAATTACTTCAAATCTGCATTTCGACAGTCTCCAATTTTTTTTCTGTCCCTTGAGGAATTCGGACAACATGGAGTCGCTTTCTTTCCCTAAGTATTCCAGACGTAGGCATGCTTTGCATAAGAAAACCAGCCTTGAAATTTTTTTTTAAATCCCCAAGACATGCACCTACACATTAAAAAAAAAAAAAAGTTAAGGAAAGAAAAAAAAAAGACAGGTGGCCCTGTCACACACAGTCTCATGACAGAGAAAAAAGAGAAAGAGAAAAGAGTCAGAGACAGAGATAAGAGACCGAGGACGCCCTATTCCTATCAGCGACCACCATTCAATTCTATCCAATGAAGATAACTTTTTTTTTTAATGTGTTATACCTACAAATTATACTCTCACATAGCCTGTATATAAGTGACAAGCAAAAAAGGAAAGTAACAAAAGGTTTTCTTTTCTTTCTCTTCTTTAGGTTTATGAGGTCTGCATTGTTACCAAGAAGTGATATGGTTCGCAGCTGTATGAACTTAACTTTTGGTTTCCTGGTTCTTTTGTGCCCATTTGGTTTGACTAGACCAGTTTTTGTTAGCTACTGGTGCAATATACATGCTGTCAGAGGTAGAGTGAAACTTTTTGCCACTGAGGAGAATGTAGCAAAACAGGAGGAGAGGACGAGGAGGAAGCGGGGAAGGAGGAAGAGCAATTCAGATAGAGCTCAGTTAGGGATTTTTTTTTTTTTTTGTATTTGTTTTCACTCAGGGTGCCCTGAATTAAAAGTAATGAGACGTACTGTACTAAATCCTTATTTTACACACTAGTGTTAAGAATAACAGTGCTGTTTCACATACATCACAGCTTCTAGAAATAAAGACGTGTGGGTATGACATACCTCATTTTTGGGATTATTTAACCCTTCGTAGCCTAGAACATATAATAGCTCTGTAAGAAAGGACTGTCCAGTGTCATTAGCAGACTAGAAAGCAGAGTGAGGTCAAAGGATTCTGGGAGCACCATGATAAAATATAACCCATTCAGAGCCTGGTTATGTGCTTTCATGTCACTTTAAGCAGGTGTGCTGGCAGATGGACTTTCAACATGTGGATAGATGTATTCACTTGCTCATCAGAAGTTTCTAAACTAAAAAGCCATTGAGAAAAAAACAAAAACAGAAAAACACCACCCGAACAAAATTAAAGCCAACTTGTACATGAAAATACAGGGGGAAATGCAAATAATGTTAGGTTAAAGAGATTTTAGGATTACCTCTATGCAGATATTTAAAAGCCATGTAAAACTGTATCCAAAGGCTTTATTTAAAAACAAAACCAAACCCAAGTTAACGGACCACTTTAGATTTTTAAATAAATGCCTGGTGTGTGTATGTATGTGGAGTAGTGTCTTCCCAGCCTTGAAAACTTTGGTTGTCTACACAGCCTGCAGCACTGCTGACTTTCCGTAAAGCACACAACCACATTCTGGGCTACCATTTTCAAAACTAACAAGTAGTTCTGGTCTGGACCCTGGACGACGAAGGGTTAATGGATTCACACTATACCTTGCTGAACATATTTAACCTGCTGATCATTTTGGAAAGTAGTACTGGTGCTTTTCAAAATTCCAATTTTGGTCCATCAGATCAGTCTTTGGCTGACTTCCCTTTTTGTAAGAATACTGTGTAACCTGGCATTCAGCAGTGTTAAAGCTGTCAGTCTACACCTCAGCATTTGGAGCTCTAATGATTTATCTTTTTTTTTTTTTTTTTGTAAAATTAGAAATACTTAAACAACCTTACAGCGATACACATGCACTGTCTTTTTTTTTTTTTTTAAAGTAGGATATCTTGTTATTTTTTCAAAAGTCCCTAATAATGATTTTTCATCAAAAAAAAAAAAAAAGAAAAGAAAAGAAAAATCCACTACTACTCTATGCTACAGCTAAACTTGGTGGAATGGATCTAGCATATTTAAAAAGTTTGCTCAAAAAAAAAAAAAAAGCATGCCTAGGGAGTCATTGTGACAGTGCAAAATACATTTATGTACATCCCTCTTACAAAAACACCAATATGTTAGCATTCCGTGAAGCATGCTGGTTTTCAGGGGAAAAAAAAATCCTATAAGAGAGTGAAATAGCAGCTCCGAAAGATAGCCTTTTTCTTTTCTTGAGGACAACCAAAAAAGTCTTTTTTTTTTTTTCTTTCTTTTTTTAACTACTAGAGAAATACCACTAATACATACAGATATAAAAGCAGCATAGAAAGATACAGGTTTCTCACCAACTAGGAATAAAGAGACTAAATGTGGGCACGTGGTTAAACTACAACGCGTCTTCACAGTCGTCCAGCACGTTTACAAGAAAAACACCATTGGGAAACCTCACAGGACAGAAGTGTTTTAACACCAAGAGAACTACTAGTTTTTAATTAAAAATCCAAACAGGGTAGGGTTGAAAAAATTTAGAAAGGGGCTGGAGCTGGAGCCACCATTTTTTTAAAAATTATTTTTCAATATAAAATGAATGAGCTGGAATAGACCCAATGTCTTGCTCTGTGGAACCTTGCAAAAGTGAAGAAACGTTGAGGGTTGTTTAGAGCAGCAGCTGGCTGGTGTCAAAGCTGCCAGGATGCTAATAACTGCAGGCTGAGTCTCTTACTTCTGTGTGTGTGTGTATATATACTTATATATATATATAAAGGAGCCTTTTGTGTTATGGCATTTTTTTCTTGCTGTTGTGTTCACATATCCCACTGCAAAATCATCTTTCATTTTTCCTTCTGTTGACCTGGATATTATTATTTCTTTTCAGAAACAGGAAAAAAAACCCCGAACATGTGTCTCCTTCCAATATGCTACACATCTGCGCGTTATGTAGCGGGTCTTCAAAGTTCAGTTAGCAACCCACGGACGCCATTCATCTTCTTGTTAAAATGTCTACTGCTGTAGCCAACGCTCATGCCCTTGAGGGTTTTCCTCTTTTTTTTTTCTCCATTATTGGATATAAAGAACATTGTGACTTTTAATATTAGCATTTTTGCTTTCAACAGCAATTAGCAATCTCTTGGTTTGCTGTTTGGTAAAGCATCGGTTAATGAGGTCATCTAGTTTAAAATCCCAGCTACTGGAAAATAACAGGGAGGAGGTCAAATCTATCATTTCATGTTATATTCTCTGCTCTCTTTTCAGTTCTCTAAGGAAAAGAAATCTTTGTTATCCACAATAAGTCATTATGACCCGTTACTGGCCTTCTGTTTTACGATCGCCTCAAGATACAGTTAGGTTCTCTCTTGCTGAAAGTACTGAACCAGGATAGTTCGTCTATAAACAAACAAAACAAAACGAAAACAAAAAGAAAAAAAAAACAACTTTGAGCATCTGAGGATGAGGACTTGGTTTCGCGTTGGTTGTGGTGTCTTTCCTCCGACAGTTCTGAGTGCACGTCTAGCGAGGTGTCGTCTCTATGGTGGAAGGGGTCCCTGGGGTGGTCGACCTGGGGGTGGCCGCCGGTGGTGTGTCCATGGGGCTCCCGGCCCCGCTGTTGGGCGTGACGGAGGAGCTGACGGCGGGCGTGTCCCCCTGCTGCTGGGCCTGCAGGGTCTGCCCGCAGATGTGGTGGTGCTTCTCCCAGTCTTTGTGCTGGCAAAAGGAGCCACAGTACCGGGCCGTGTTACAGCCGCTGCAGGTCTCGCTGGCTTTCCGGCCGCAGTTCCAGCAACTCTGCGGGAGGAGGCAGAAGAGGGGGACGTCTCCAGTTAGCACCAGGACCGGGCCAAACTCTGAGAAAGAAACTAGGCAGCACTGCCCTCACCCCTTATTTTTAAGAACTGTGAGAATGAAAAATCCATGTGTGTATTTATACACACGCTGAACACATTGAAGATGCAGGTTTTGGTGCAGTGACTGCCCAGACTTCACAAACTCTTAAGACATCTACACAAACTGGTTTGAAACTCTTTCCCATTTTTGCTGTAAAATTCCTTCTCTTTAGGTTTAGTATCTTCGCATCTAAATTTTCTGTTCACCCATACTAACGACTGCTACATCTGAATTTTCCTCTCCTAATGCGAATACCCGAATACCTGTCATGGAAAGATACAAAGACACCAGTCCTGGCGGAAGCTTCTTCTTTCTAGACACTAATAGGAATCACAAAGGAACTACGATAATGCTCTGGGGACAACAGAGGATGAGATGGTTGGATGGCATCACCGACTCAATGGACATGAGTTTGAGTAAACTCTGGGAGTTGGTGATGGACAGGGAGGCCTGGCATGCTGCAGTCCATGGGGTCGCAAAGAGTCGGACACAACTGAGTGACTGAACTGAACTATTAGATTCAAAGGAATATAGTGGACTAGACAGAGGATTCTATTCCCTGTTCCAGCACAGACAGTGGGGCACGCATTTAGTTCTCCCTACTGCAATTAATTATTCACTGTACCTGAACACCAAATGGTAGGAAAGTCTAAAAACAATTCCTGTTAACTTCAGCTCCCTTGAGATTGAATCTTTGGTTTGTTTTTACTCTGATATATTTCTAAGCACCCAGTACCTGATTTATATATATATATATATATATATATACACACACATACATATTATATATATATATATATATACACACACACACACACATAGTAGGTGCTCAATAAATATTTGTGAAATGAGAATCAGATCACTTAATTTGGCTTTAAAAAAACCAGAAATACTAAAGCTGGGTAAACAACAAACTCTCTTTTCATATACTGCTTTCTAGCTGATGGAGCTCCTTTGAAGCTTGTTTGTACCTCAGCAGCTCTGAGCAGTCAGAAAAGCAGAGGAAATTAAAAACTCTAGTGAGTTTTAGCACCCTAGCAAGCCTACTGCGAGTCTCCACTGGTGCTTTCCAAGCAGTGAGAAAAGCAGAAATGAGGCTGCCTCTGAGATAAACACGCCATGAAGCTGGGCACAGTGCACTAGACAGAAAAGCCCCTGCCTGGGCAGATCCCGGGGAACGGGGGAGCTTCGGGGAGCACGCTGACGATGGCAGGGGGAACTCAGGAAGCCTCCTTGAGACGCTTGTGCCTCCTTTGGCAAGACCGTCCACTGTACAATGTTGTATCCTGCGATCTTAGCTCTGTACCATTCATCCCTTTATTCTCCATTCTCCTTGGTTTTACTTTCTTGCCAAACAAACTTCTGACTGTAATCTGGTAACCCCAACCAGCTGAAGGTATGTGGCTGTTAACACAATTAAAATATAGTTTTTTAAAGCCCCGATCTATGTGGATACGAAAAAAATCTCCCCACTGTGTTTCCTGTGATTATTTTTGCTTTCAGCAGGCTGATGGTTTGGGTTAAGGTGGGCTCTTAAGCCTATGAAAAATGCGCCAGTGGAATGTCAGCTCATCACCCTGGACTATACACTAAGGAAATTTTAGCATTTATCCTAATTTGGCTAACAAATAAAGGGCTCTTAAAGTCTTTCAAGTCCTTGAAGCCTATAAACTCAAGAATGATAGCATAAAACATTTAGAAAGAGCTCAGTCCTGTGTTCATATTTCTTTACCACTCAGAAATGATAGCCTAATGAAGAGGAAAAAATAAAAACTTTAAGATCTCACAGTCTGGCCAGTAGAAGGTGTTTCAAGTGAACATAGCTAAGGAAATCTAGAAGCTTTGATTTCTGTGTTAATGTTATAAATAAAAATTTAATTACAATTAATAGTCAATACCAGAACAAAGTAATCTTTTTCTACTGCAGTTTAATTTTCCCGGGAAAATATCTCAAAAAATATGTGCCTCTGATCAGAGGCTTCAAGACCATAACCAGAATCCCTTCTCTCTCAAAATTAACTCAATCTTACTGCATGGACAATGGTGCACAGAGATCTGAACAAACATGGCCCGCCCGTCCTCCAGAGCAGTGAGGTATGCCACTCAGCACTCAGGGTGTTTACTTCCCCGAGCTTTAGGCATTTCGAACAATGCCAGCTGGATCCTGGAACAAACTCAGAAATAAGTGAAATTCCTAAATTACATCAGAAAATCCCAACTAGAGAACACAGACCTAGATCCAAAACAGTATTTTAAGGAAATTAAACATCTAATCTGAGTCAAGTGGCTCCTTTAGGAAATACCCTGGTGTGAGTCCTATCTGTTTCCTGGCAGAGTCACATCTTGGCAGACACAAGGCCGTGACTGCCCGGTTCTCAAGGGCTCCTTCAGATTGAAATCAGATGTAGGTAACCGTCTCAATTTAAGTTGATTAAACACACAGACTAAACCAGGTAATTACAAATGCATGTGTTGGGGAATGGAAGGAGGAGACAGAATGGGGACTTCTTTATTTTTTAAAGTGTTTTGAAAGATGGGAACAATTTTAAGAACAAAAAAGTGGAATAATGCCAAATATAGAAACAGATGTTTTGGATTATAAAGCTGCTGGGAAACGAGACTTTTTTGCCAAGCATCTCTGGATTCTAATCCAGGATTCAAGGGCTCCAGTTTTACCTCTAGTCCCATTCTGAGGTTGTTGAATCCCATTCATTTACCACCCACTATTGAGACAAAAAACAACCTATGACTTTAGAAAGGTGCAACAAAGAGTAATTCAAATAAGCTGGTGGGAAAAAACCTGTGTATTTTTTATTGCTCTTGACAATGCATTGCAATGAATGTGTAGGGAACTTTAGCTCAAGTGTTCAACAAATGGAAAACTCCAAAGTGCATATTCCTTTTTAAAAGTTCATTAGAGGGACTTCCTTGGCGGTCCACTGGCTAAGACTCTGTGCTCCCAATGCAGGGGGCCAGGTTCAATCCCTGGTCAGGGAACTGGATCCCACATGAAACAGAGTTCCCTGCCGCCTGCTGAGAACAAAGAGGTTTTGCATGCTACAGTGAAAAGTGAAAATCTCGTGTGCTGCAACTAAGACTCAGCACAGTCAAATAAATAAAAAATATTTTAAAAATAAAGTCATTAGAAAACAGGCAAAGCAAATTTCTACTAAGTCCTTCTGGGCGGCTCTACCAAATTTCCTGTTAACTAATTCATACCTGTAAGACTGATGCTGGACCAGGGGCACTTGGCCTCTCAACCATCACTTCTGGGAACCATGGATCTTATCAGTACTTATGAGTGCAGAAGCTTGTGAGTACTCTAATTTGAATCATTTTTAGTTTCTAAGCTTTCTTTCATTCACAAAGGTGGAAAACTGCAAACTGTGTATCATACCCAGGGGTATATCCATAAAGGCAGGGTGTTAAGGTGGTCAATGGCCTCATCTAACTTTATGTTTTTCAATTTGTGCTTTTCATATTCAAGCTAGTACTTCCTAATAGCTGCTTGTTTTCTTCATTGATTTTTCAGATAACTGAGCTTTGCTTTCAGTCTTTTAAGCAATGATTCTGGTGACAATTACCACAATGGAATAGACACCTTAAGAATACCATTTCATAGCAAATTTCATTCCCAAAGTCCATGGCACTTTCTAGTCTTCCTTTACTTGTGATAATATTATTCTTTTTTCAGCATAAGGAATATTCTTCCTCCCTATCATGAGAATCAGCCATTTTCCAAAACTAGGCTAGGATTCAGATGAAGAATAGGAGGCAGAACACAGCCTTCCCTTTATAAATGTACTGACACTACACATGACGTGGAAATGATGAGTTGAAGCTTTTGGTGCCAGTGCTGTATGTCAAAGACTATTGACACTTGTCTCATATCAACAATTCTTTTTGTCCCTATGAACAAAATTATTTCCTTCATCTGGTTATTTTAGATACAGAGAGAATGGTCTTTCTGTCCTACTAGCAAAATAATAAATAGCTTTTCTGGTTCTTACCGTTGGAAATTCCTTTTATAAGAAACAAAACATTTTCTCCTAAGAAGTTTCTGCAGCTATTATCCACCTATAATTCTAAAAAAAAAAACAAAACAAAACACACACACACACACAAACCCTTGCACACAAGTGATGCCCAAAGAATAAAGAAGAATGATTATAATTGAAATTCCCAAAATGTAAGTAACTTTTTACAGTAAATAACTTCCGTATCTATGAAATTACACAGGCAAGGTTTGATTCACCGTCTTTGGACTGCAAATCACTCTTTCTAAAATGTCACACCTTGTCCATTGCAGATCCTTGTTATAACCTGTTCTGGCAGGAATAATGTTAGAAGGGCACTTCAACCATAAACGTTGACAGACGTTGGACCAGGAAGTTGGAACCAAAGAAGAGGTATTATCATGGTATGTAATCGAATGGCTTCTAATTTTGAGTGGCTTCAGCATCACTCTTTCTCGGTTTTTCACCTCAAGCTATATCACTAGTGGCTTTAGAACCACAGGCAAATTACTTAACCTCCTAGAGTGGCAGTACCTATAAAGTAGGAAGGATAACTATAGGATTATTCAGGATCATATCAGTGCTAACTAAGGGGTCCGGATGCTCAGTGGATCGTGAATAAATGGCAGGAACTAATACCACCTCCTCCTCCTGGCGCTGGCTGAAAGCAAATGAGATCATACCCATCTCTGCAGGGCACAACCTTTACAATCAGAAAGCTCGTGGTCCGGTGCCTCCCCTTGATGGACACTGACAGCTACACAGACAGAACGTGTCCTTACTGCCCCTAACATGTAATTAGTGGCCACTTATTTCTTCTCCTTCCTTACTGCCCTCAGATCTTCTGAAGATTTACCACTGACCATTTTCCCATTCATCCTTTTT